TACATACAATACATAGCCAGAGGCTAGGTGATTTGATGGGGCAGCATGTCCCTTCACCTGCAAAGCAGCAGGCAACTGCATGCACTCCACCGGCGTGGAAGCGCATGGTTGCACGCTCGGAGCAACATGCACATGATGCACCTGCAGTTGCGTCTCCATCGGCTGCAGTTGTGTGTAGCAGTGCCCTGCTGCTACAGTGCTGTTGCACCTCCCGCGGCTTGCCGCACCATGCGCTGTGCGGCAGCCCCGGCCACGTCAGCGTTCAACGGCCTTGTCGCTGCCACGTCGTCGCTTCTGCCGCGCCCCCATGCATGGCGTGGCACCATGGCAATAGACGCGGCCAAAAGTGTTAGTTTTGGAGAGAAAAAAACAGTGTTAGATTTAAAATTAGTTTAAAAAAATGTTAAAAATAATAAAAAAAAATCTTAAATGTCTCCCATACTGTCCTGTGTCCCCTACCAAATACTCTGTTATTCCTCTCCCTCCAAATCTCCCAGACGATCAAGAGCACAATCGAGTTTGCTCCTAGTCTTGCAGATGTAGGCTCAGGCAGAGTTGGCAAAAGTAGTTGTTCGTCCACCCTCTGACCTGCAGACGCGCATCAGTCCAAATTCTATCTTGGGTCATCATCCAGGCGAAAAATTTACATTTAGGTGGGGCTTTTGTATTCCAAATCCTTGTAGCTACCACACTAGTTGTTGTTCCTTCAAATTGTAATTTGTAGGCCGATCTTGCTGTGTACTGCTGCCCGCTTGCAGTGTATATCCAGGTCTCCTTGTCCACTGCCAACTCAGATTGATTTAACTCAACCTCCGGTAGCTGCTCCCATAACACCCAGAGATGAGTTCTTGGGCCATGTTGTTGTACTCAATGTCTGTGATCCATCTCTCATTTTGCAAGGCCTCGACCACTGTCCTAGTTTTTCTCTTGCTATGTCTGTAAAGAGAAACATGGTTGCCGATGCCTCCCCTTGTGACCAACGTGAGGACTAGAACGAAGCATTCCTCCATTGCCCAACTGGACATTTGTTGCCGCGTTGTAAAGAGCTTTGTCGCAATCATCAACTGGTAGCTGCATTCCCTTCCATGGTTTGTCCTCATCAGACCAACTGAACAAGATCCATCTTATTATTAGCGCCCTTGGAAAAAATTCCAAATTAACAACTCCCAAGCCTCCCAAAGGCATTGGCAAGCAAACTTTGGGCCATGCTACCATGCATTTCCCTCTAGAAAGTTCATTGTCCCCTGCCCATAAGAATCTTTTATTTTTGTCTCATCTTGTCTATCAGGAATTTCTTTGGAAGCTTAATCGCAGTTAACAAGTAACGGCTAGGCATTAAGGACAGTGCGTACTAGCTCCTGCCTTCCTGCGCTGCCGCGCTGCACAACAGTCTGCCCTGCCAACATTCTAGTTTGTTCTTTGCTCTATCCTGAATATATTGTAAATACACAAGTCGTAACCTCCCTAGTGTTAGCGGTAGGCCCAGGTATTGCACTGCGAAGGCAACTCTGTGCCCTGGGAAATCATGAAGAACCTCCTCCATATCAATTCCAGCACAACGAATCGGCACTACCATTCATGTTAATTTTCAAGCCTGTTGCGTGTCCAAAGGCCTTCATAATGTCCAGGATGGCTGTGATGTCAGTTCTGTTCGGGTTGCAAAAATTTACTGCATCGTCAACATAAAGTGAAAGTTGGAGTTTGGCATGCCTTCTCTTTAAAGGGCCCAGAGTTCCATCTTCATTTTCCATGTCAAAATAGGCACTTTAGCGGGTCGATTGCCAAGATGAAGAGGTATGGTGAGAGCCGGTCCCCCTCTCGCAGCCCACGTTGATGTTTAATTCTTGGTCCAGGGCATCCATTGCGGAGAACCGAAGAGGAAGAGGTTCTCAGTAACACTGCTAGCCAGTCAATCCACTTAGTAGGGAAACCCCGTTGTTGTAGGAGTTCTAGTAGATACACCCAAGACACTATATCGAAAGCTTTTGAGGTGTCAAGCTTGATCATGCATGAAGGGGTTTTAGTTCTATGAAAGTATCTTGCCAAGTTCCTGACATATAAGAAATTATCTTGGATACATCTTTTTCTAATGAAAGCGCTATGTGAAGCTGATATTAAGGAGTCAAGTAAACCAACAGTCTTTGTGCCCAGACCTCGGTGAGCAGTTTGGTGAATGAGTGTATTAGGCTAATTGGCCTGAAGTCCTTTGGTTTAGATGCCACCTCAATTTTTGGGATAAGCACAATATGAGCCCCATTGAGATGTTCCGAGGCACCACACTGTAATATGTGAATGCCATGAAGGCATTCATGACTTCTATCTTAATCATGCTCCAACAACATTTATAAAAATTACTTGTGTATCCATCAGGGCCAGGGCCTTCCCTAAAGGCATGCTCATTACTGCCTACTCCACTTTAAGCTCCGTGAAAGGTCGTTCAAGCTCCATTCTGGGCAGTTCCTGAATTCCCATCAAGTTTAGTACATTCTAGTTGAAGGACATCTGACATTGTTCCTTAGAGCCCACCACACTCTCAAAGTATTTTGAAGGATTTTCTCTTCCTCATCATGCTGGTCCCAAGTCAGCACACCATTCGGTCGCTTAAGTGATGGAATATATTTCCTTCTTTTCCTATTATTCATACGCATGTGGAAAAAGCGAGTGCAAGCATCGCTGGCTTTTAGCCAAATTAACTCTTGAGGCCTGTCTGCAGCGCGAGCGCTCTACGACAGCTAAACCCTACACTCTAGCTTTCCTCAGGGGACAAGATCCTATCTTCCTGTGTGACATCCAATCTCAAAATTACTTCCTGGGAAATATGCACCTGAATCCTGGCGTTGATGAAGAGAGGCTTGCTCTAGGCTCTCAGCTCTTTAGCCGTTTCCAGGAGTTTTTTGCGTAGGATAGTGTGCACTGAGCCAACCTGCGGCTTTTCCCAAGATCGTTAGACTACTTCACTGAAACCGTTGATTTTGGTCCATAAGTTCTCAAATCTGAAAGCAGCCCCCTTTAAAGTGCTTTGCTGGTGGTGCAGGAGGATTGAGCAGTGGTCTGAACCACCTGTTGATAGCGCGTTCAAAGCAAAATTTGGGAAGAGGACATCTCATTGGGCGTTGCAAAAGACCCTGTCCAATTTTACTAGGGTCGGACATTCTCGTTTGCTCGACCAGGTGAACTTTATATTTTGTAAAGGGATCTCCAAGAGTTCACATTCATCCAATGCAGCTCTGAATTTTCTCATCAACCTTCTATTGAGGTTAAGGTTATTTTTATCGCTGGCCTTGTATATGAGGTTGAAATCACCAGCGATAAGCCAAAGGGGTGGCAGTTGTTGGCTTGATCATCAACATCTCAGCCAAGAAATCCTCCTTTCTTGCGTCATCTGTTGGGCCATAAACGGTTGTAACTCTCGATTTTAATTGAGATGCTTTAACAAGAACTGAAGCCGAGATTGTGAAGTTATGGCTGACGACATCGGTTGTATCATCATCTCAATGATCTCGAAACGTAGGAATGCTTGTGTGTTTTGAGGGTGTTTCTCCTTTAACTCAATCTTGAGTTTGCTTAAGGATGAACATGGTCTCTAGTGTTTAGCAGGCGCTAAGAAACTGCAAGGTCTGGACCTTGAAAGGCGCCTAATTCCTTAGGTGTGGTCAAGTTTTGGTGTGCTTTTTTTTGTATAATTCTTTAAGGCTTAATTTTTTAGATTGGATCCTTGACTCTCATATCCGTCTTCATATGAGAGGAAGGAGTTGTATGGGGTTCTTTTTCTTCTCTATATATAGGGCTGGACGAAAAACTCGTAACTTGCTAGCTCGCTTGTTGGTGGCTCGGCTCATTTGAATTTTAAATTAACGAGCCAGCTCGATCCAACTCGGTTAATTAACGAGCCAGCTCGCGAGCTGTTTACGAGCCAAGGTAATTCACATGGCAGCAACTACAATCGGCCCATATATCCCTCGGCCTAGCCCAATACGTTAAAACTCTAACCAATACAATTTTAATCAGTCCACATATCCCTCTGTCTATGGCCTAACAGGATTAAACACTAAAATCCTAGATAATAGATCCCACGGCCATGGCCCAACACACGGTTCATTCTTAAATACCGTATGGTTGAATGAAATCAATCAATGGATGATGATGGATCACCGATGATAGCATACTTTTCATTGTAAAATTCATATATATTTTGTTTATTTCATTTTAAATATGCATGTGATGTGTTTTTTTGCTTTGGCTCGCAAGCCAAACGAGCTAGATCAAGTTTGCTAACGAGCCGAGCTAGCCTTCTAGCTCGTTTGTATAATGAGCCATATAACGAGTCGAGCCATAATGAGTCGAGCTGGTTCGATATCCAGCCCTATCTATATAACACAGTAAAACGCAGCTCTCCTGCATTAAAAAAAATCTCATTGTCCCGTGCCGACAAAATGCCGCCTCTTGTGCCTTCGGCAGGTAGGGTGGCAAAGCTACACAGGTTCTGCCCTAAGAACTCAAGGGTTGTTCTTCTGTCCATTTTTTTTCTAATCTGAAAAGGCTCGCCGTTATTTCAATCTCAACGAAACATAATCAGAATCGGGAAAAAACAGAAGCGGGCCAACTAAAACCGCGTATATACGGGCACAAGTCGGATTATTTGTACGGTGCCTATATAACACGTTTGCTCGCCGCACGATGAGCCCCCCCCTTTGATTCGTACGCGTGCAACCGCATGCGCCGAGATCCCAGCGCCTGCACTTTCCAAGAACCCTAGCTTCAGAACGGAAGAAGAAAGATGGGGAACCGCATGGGCAGAGGAGAGATGGAGAAGCACATGGCGCAAACCATGATCCAAATCGACAGGCGGATCCCCGACGGCCTCCGCGCCGCCTTTGTGGTTGCCCAGCCAACAGGACGAGGCAGCAAACTTCGCCGCGGTGCTGCTCGCGCCGCGCGACGACGACGGCGCCAGCGACCCCCTGGACTGCGACGAGGCGGAGCCGGAGGGAGACCTGGGGATGGCGTTCGCGTCCTGCTACATAAAGGATCACGACGAGGACGCTCACTTCGGGCACGCCGAGGCCGGCGTCATTGGCGTGGCGGACGGCGTCGGCGGGTACCGCAGAAAGGGCGTCGACGCGTCGGCGTTCTCCCGCGCGCTCATGCACAACGCCTTCGCGGAGGTGGCGATGACCGCCGTCCCCGGCACGCGCTTCTGCCCCCGCGCGCTGCTGGGGCGAGCGCACCAGATGACGGCCACGGCGCACACGCCCGCCGCGTCCACGGCGGCCATCGTCTCCCTCGCCGGCCGGACCCTTAAGTGGGCGTACGTCGGCGACAGCGGGTTCGTGGTGATCCGCGACGGCAGGATCCTGCTTCGGTCGCGGCCGCAGCAGCACTACTTCAACTGCCCCTACCAGCTCAGCTCAAAGCAAGACAGCAGCAGGCTCGCCGACGCGGTGGTCGGCGAGGTGGCGGCGAAGGAAGGCGACATTGTGATTCTGGGTACGGACGGGCTGTTTGACAACGTGTTTGACGACGAGATCGAGCGCATGGTGCGGATGGGCATGGCGTTGGGGTTCGCGCCCGAGAACATGGCGGAGGTCATAGCGGGCTTCGCTTGCGAGGCTGCGAGCTGCGCCGACAGAGACACGCCATACAGCTCCTTGGGCCGGACACAGCCAGGGAACGCTTTCTTCACGGGCGGGAAGCCAGATGACATCACTGTAGTCGTCGCCTACATTGTATCACCCCCTATCTGATCTCGAACATATTCGCTTGCTCGTATACGATCGTGGATTATAAGCTGGAATAGTATTTTTCTCTCACACCAAACCAGCCAGCAGTAAATAATCCACGATCGTTTACGGCCTGCCGAACAGGCTAATAGTCCATTGTGATTTTGTGCACGATCTTTACAACTCTTCAATCCCATGTATATGTACAAAATTAGCTGTAAAAAGGTACAGCCTAGAGTCGGCTCCCACGGCGCAACTTCAATCGGTAGGCAGGAAGACGGCGAGGGTGGCAGCAAAGGCCTCCGGCGAACCATTCACAGACTCTAGAGTCTAGACGAAATCTCCTCCGGACTAGGCACCCACGGCTACAAGGAATTGAATGGAGACAGTTTGTGTGCTGTGAATTTTGGACGTGGGCAGCAAAAGGGGCCGGTAATGGCGGACGTCACAGGCTTTTGTAGCCGTTCCGGCGAGTGTGAGGCCGAGGGCTGTTGCTTCGGTCGGCATCGAGGTGAAGGCAGCGAGGCTGGCCTGTTTGGTTCTGACTTGTGACCCTGGCGAAGGTGCCTGGGCCAGGCAGCTCCCCAGGCCGTTGATTTCGAGAGCCTGGCGGCCGGATCGATGTGCCTGGGCAAACAGGAACGATGCGAGGCAGCAGCAGCTGCCAGCGCGAACGGCGGAATTTCTCTAACCTTCGCAGTTGTTTGAAACTTGAAAGATGGAAAATAGTATAGTTAAATTAAGTTTCGTGAAAATAACTATGCATTAAATTATAGTTTTTTATGAGTATACGGTGTGCACGCATATAAGGCCACAGTAAAGAGTTTCATGGCATTGTTTTTAAAACTGTCATGTCGTATATAATGAAATGAAAGATGGATGAAACACCCACTCTCAAATGGAGAGTTTTATTATTTTGTTTTATAAACATTTAATTTCATGACTCATAGAGAGCTGGTAATCGTGCCACGAGAATTTTATCTTCATGAAATTCACTTCTTTTCTCTTTTCAAAACATTGCCACATCATTAAAAGGGTGTATGTGATGGTTTATTAAATGCAAATGAAACTATGATTAAACTATCACTAGCCTAAAAAATAATATTCCATATGCAATTTTCAACTAGGGAACCAGGGTTGGTGGGGTTCTCTGGATGGTAGTCCGTGAACCCACAAAAAAATGTTGTGCGCTACTTGTGCATGGCCTTTGTAAATGTTTTCCTCTATACATATCAATCAAAGCCGAGCAATCCGGATCTTTCGATTTTCCAGGGTTTTCATTCTCCAGTTGTGTTTTTTTAGCGCAAACAAAGTTTATACTCCCTCTATTCTAAATTATAAGATGTTTTGGTCTTTTCAGATACATATTATTTTTCTATGTATCTAGACATAGTTTATACCCAAATACATAACAAAAATAATATATCTTAAAAAGCCAAAACATTTTATAATTTAGGCCGGAGGGAGTAGTTTTTTTTTGGAAAACATAATCTCTTGGCTTTATATTAAAGGATTGCAACAAGCATACAACCATCCCTTTTCAAGGATAACATCAATGTTCATTAACTCTAAAACTATAAGGTTTGTGTCGGTGCAGAAAGTGACCAACACGTAAATATTTATAGTTTTGCCGTACGTTGTGATCGGATGTGGCATCGCACTCAATGACACAGGGTTTATACTAGTCCAGGCAACGTGCCCTATGTCTAGTTTGAGTCGGTCGGTGACTTTATTCTTGAGCTCAGGTGCTCGAAGTTTGCTGTGGGGTTACAAACGGAAGGGAGAAAGATGGGGGATACAAGAGGTCCGGTCGGACTCTGGTCTGAAGGGCCGAGAGTGACGGGAGCTCCACTATGTGCTAAGTATTCGAACTTTTGTTTGTTCGTTGGGATCCTTGGTCGTTTGGATTGTGTGTGTTGTTCAAGTTGTTGTGTACTGATTTATCTATCTGTTGGGATAGAGCACATCCCCTTTTATAGATGACGGAGACGGCCTTACAAGCAAGAGAGAGAGAATATGCATGCTACTAAGTCTTGTTGCCCACGCCGTCGGGTACAAGATGATGGTAGGCACCCATAACACTATTGTTGTCAGACGCATGTGGGAGGTTTTACCGTATTCACCATGTATGGTAGATGACGGCGCCCACAACACTGTTGATGTTCAGAGGCACGTGGGGGGAGCCTTACCGTGTTTGGCTGGCATGGGAGTTGATGGCGCCCACAACACTGCTTGGGTTCTGGCATGCCTGGACGGTTGCAGGGCACCCTTCTGATATGTCATGTCGGTTACTGTCCTGCAGGTGTGCAGGGTACGGTCGTCGGTATCGCGGTCGACTTGAGTGCCCTGCCTTACTTGCTCCGTTCGTTTTCCAGGTCCTCACCGAGCGGACGTCACCGGTCGGTTGGTTCCAGTCGGCTCTGACTGCGCCAGTCGGAGAAGAGCTGTAAGCAGGGGTTCGGTGCATCCCCGGTCGGAGACGTGGGTCGGAGATGGAGGCGGTGTTTGGCCAGGCCTTCCGGTCGGAGAGACGGGCTGGAGTCGAAAGCGAGCGTTGTTCCTCTTTGGCCAGACCTTTCGGTCGGAGAGGCGGGCCGGAGTCGGAAGCGAGCGATGTTCCTCCTTAGCGAGGCCTTTCGGTCAGAGATTGGATCACCCTTCTGTCCTGTCGTTTAGGTGTTTTGGGCCGACCCAGGAGTTGTGCGTTTGTTCGAGACGTCGTCTGCTGGGCCGAGCCTTTTGCTAGGAAGCCGATCCGTGAGGGACCCCGGGTTTATGAACCCGACAGGAGCCCCCGGGCGATTCCGATAGAATTGTCTTAGGGATTTTTGTCTTTGACGGCGGGTGCCCGCGAGCGCACCCGCGGGTGTAGCCCCCGAGCCCCCAGGCGATTCGGGTAGAATCATCTGGGGGTATTTCATCTTTGTCAGCGGGGGAATTTTTTGTTTGTTTGACAGCGGGTGTAGCCCCCAAGCCCCGGGCGATTTAAGTAAAAAATCGCCTGGGGGTTTTTATCAGCGGGCGTGTGCGTGTGCACTTTGGTTGAGACAGAGTCATTTTAACTAAGGCGTCGAGCGTAGGGATCGGGATCGAGCGAGATGGGCTCGTGGACCCAGGCGTCGGGCGATCAAGCGAGACGAGCTCAGGGATCCTAGCATTGGGCGTAGCCGAGGGATCGAGCGAGATGGACTCGCGGGCCTGTCGTGCGCAGTCGAGGCAATTTAGGGATCGGGCGAGACATGCTCGCGGATCCTGGCGTCGGGCGCAGCTGAGGGATCAGGCGAGGCAGACACGCGGGCCCATTGTGCGCAGCCGAGGTAGTTTAGGTATCGGGCGAGATGAGCTCGCGGATCCTGGCGTCGGGCGCAGCTGAGGGAGCGGGCGAGACAGACTCGCTGGACCATCGTACGTAGCCGAGGCAGTTTAGGGATCGGGCGAGACGAGCTCACGGATCCTGGCGTCGGGCGCAGTCGAGGGATCGGGAGAGGCGGACTCGTGGTCCTGTCGTGCGCAGCCGAGGCAGTTTAGGGATCTGGCGAGACGAGCTTGCGGATCCTGGCATCGGGTGCAGCCGAGGGATTGGGCGAGGCGGACTCACGGACCCATCGTGCACAGCCGAGGCAGTTTTAGGGATCGGGTGAGACTAGCTCACGGACCCTGGCGTCGGGCGCAGTCGAGGATTCAGCGAGACGGACTCGCGGACCTATCGTGCGTAGCCGAGGCAGTTTAGGGATTGGGCGAGATGAGATTGCGGATCTTGGTGTCGGGCGCAGCCAAGGGATCAGGCGAGATGGACTCGCGGACCCATCGTGCGTAGCTGAGGCAGTTTTAGGGATCGGGTGAGACGAGCTCGCGAACCCTAGCGTCAGGCGCAGCTGAGGGATCGGGCGAGACAGACTCATGGACCCATCGTGCGTAGCCGAGGTAGTTTTAGGGATCGGGTGAGACGGACGGACTCGCGGATCCTGGCGTCAGGAGCAGCCGAGGCAGTTTGGGGATCGAGCGAGATGGACGGACTCGTGGATCCTGGCGTTGGGCGCAGCCGAGGTAGTTTTAGGGATCGGATGAGATGGAGTCACGGATCCTGGCGTCGGGCGTGCTAAGGGATCAGACGAGTCGGAGTCACGGACCTAGGCGTAGCCGAGGCGTTTGGGTGTCTTGAGCCCCTAAGCCCCATTGGGCTTGGTAGGGGTCGGTTGAGTTTTGTGCGTTACCCCGTCCGCGATTTCTCACAACCGGACGGGCTAAGCTAACGTCGCTTGCCTCGATGGCTCGAGTGACACGCTCAGTGAGCTCGCTAACGGGCACGTTTGAGTGAAGTCCGGGTCCGTCGTTCGTGACGGGATCGGCATAACCCTCATGTGGCACTCCACTGCTCCTTAACCTGCAACCCGGCAGATGCCTGGGTCATTCTGGAGACCGACCCGGGTGGCCCACTGGCCTTCCCTTGATGGAGATTATGTGGGTTTGGCGAGAGGTTAGGATCGAACAAGAAGGTTGAGATGACCCTGTCTGCTTCGGGGCATACTGGGCGAGGGCCGCTCGGGGCTCATCTGTGTTTTCTCCCTTGGCTCTGTTTGACGCGAGGCGGCCTCGAGCCCTTCGTGGGCCGGCCTTCGAACCCCGGTCGGTCGTTGCTCATGTTGAATGAGGCAACTACCACTTCGTGACGCAACACGGAGCCTTGTGATGCATTTAACTGCATATGCGATGCTTTGGATGTATAGAATGAATGAATGCATGTATAGATGAATGAATGATTATATAAAGAAATAGTGGGGGTTGATAATGTTACCTTGATGACTCGAGTGATGGGGTTTGAGGAGCTCCAATCAGAAATGTCCGATCGGGATCCATGCTCGTTGTTAGTGGTGGAGTCAGCATGGCCCACATGGGGTGTCCCTTTGCTCCTTACCTGTCTCTCGGCATTTGCCTGAGCTATCCGATTGACTCAGGAAGCCCGATGGTCTGTCCTAGGTGGAGATCTCGTAGTTGGGCCTTTCCAAGTCTCGCCTAGGAAGGCG